TGGAGCACCTGGTGCCTGAACCATAGCATGGGAACTCTGATGCTGAGAGCCACCTGGTGCACGAGGGCAATACCTGGCAATGTGCCTCATGTTGCCACAAGTAAAACAAGCCCTTGGCTGCTGGGGCTAACGACCCTGGAAACTCTGAAGTGGTGGTGCGCTGATAGGTGCTGGTGGTGCACTGTAGGGCTGCTGATCGGAATATTTCATCTGAGGACCACGGCTACCTGAAGCACCGTGAGAAACCTGAAGAGCTGACTGAAAGGGCCTAGGAAGATGGCCTCTACCATATGAATCTCTACCTCCAGACGAGGTACCACTGAATCTGCCTGAATGACGGGGCCTCTTGTCTGCCCCATGACCACCCCCCTGTGATAGTACCATCTCAATCCTCCGGGACGCATTGGCCGCCTCCTGGAAGGATATCTCACTCCTAGTCTCTCTAGCTATCTGGAGATGAATCGGCTGAATGATTCCATCAATAAACCATAGCACTCTCTCCCTCTTAGTGGGAAGTATAATAAGGGCATGGCGAGGCAAATCTATGAATCTGGTCTCATACTGGGTGACAGCCATGGATCCCTGATGAAGACGCTCGAACTGCCTCCGATAGGCCTCTCGTTGTGTAATAGGGAGAAACTTCTCCAGAAATAAGTGTGTGAACTATTCCCAGGTCAAGGCTGGTGATCCTGCTGGTCTAGCTAAGCAATAATCCCTCCACTAAGTCTTGGCGGATCCAGACAAGAGAAATATAGCAAAATCAACCCCATTGGTCACAACAATCCCTATGTTCCGTAGAACCTCGTGACAACTGTCCAGATAATCCTGGGGATCCTCAGTAGGTGCACCGCTAAAGATAGTAGTGAAGAGCTTGGTGAACCTGTCCAATCTCCACAAAGCATCGGCAGACATGGCTGCACCATCGACGGTGTGAGATACCACACTCGGTTGTACTGCTTCAACTGGCTGAGCCGCTGGAGTCTGAATTTGAGGAGCTACCTGCTCCGACGTGCGAGTAGCAGTAGTTTGGGCCCCTCCTCCAACCTGAGAGATGGCTGGTGCTACAGGAAGCAAGCCTGCTGGGGTGACACTCTCCAAGAGGACCACTAATCAGACCAGAGCATCCTGAAGAACTTGGGTGGCAATAAACCCCTCTGGGACCTGAGCTGGGCCCACCGGAACTGCTGGGGCTGGAACCTCGTCATCAAAATCAACCTGAGGCTCCGCTACGGGTGCTGCTACCCTGGGCTGAGCTCTTCCCCTGCCTCAGCCCCGCCCTCGCCCTCTTCCCCTCGTGGAGCTGCCTGGAGCTCGGATTGTTGGTCGGTAGATGAGGAAGCGCGTGTTCTCGCCATCTGCGAAAGAACAGAGTAGAAATTCAATTAGCATTGAGAAACTAAACCGCACGACAAGAAAGAACAAAGGTGAAACTTTCCTAACTCTGTAGCCTCTGGGGATAAATACAGACGTCTCCGTACCGATCCCTCAGACTCTACTAAGCTTGTCCGTGAATTTTGAGACCTATGTAACCTAGAGCTCTGATACCAACTTGTCACGACCCGGATTTCCCACCCTCGGGAGTCGTGATGGCGCCTACTCGTAGAAGTTAGGCAAGCCACGAAATTTATGAATTCTTAACTCTTTTATTTTAATCCTTTTTACAACATATATTAGCAAGCGATAAACATTTAGATAACAGCGAAATATGAGATTAAGCGGAAGACTTGGACTAAATAAACCAAATAATAAGAAAATTCCACATAAGCCTCTAACCAGAACTGGTGTCACAATATTCACGGACTGTCTAAGATCACTACATACAGTGTCTGAAAGAAAGAAATATTGTATGTCTCGAATACAAGAGATAACAGAACATAACAAGGAATAGAGGAGACGCTGGGCCTGCGGACGCCTGCAAGGCTACCTCGGTGTCTCGGTGGATACGCCTAATTGTCATTTGAATTTCCTTTTCGATTTCTAGCATTCTTCTGTTCCTTTTAGTAGGCAAGAACCTAATAACAAAATTTAAGGAGATTATGTTCTGGTGTGTATTGTTAGAAGCATGCCTCACTAGTATTTGATAAAATACTCACATGAAAATACTCATCTCCTTTTGCATACTTCTCTGTTAGATGCTATGATTTTAAGAAGGATTTTATAATGAGTTAGTTGTCTTGCAAAACATTTATTTGCCATTGTAAGTTAGGATCTTTTGCCCATACATCGTGCTTAGGATTTCATACAGCTTGTTTACGCATGTATTTTATTTAAATGTACACTGTTAAATAAATACTTGATTTACTTGTGTCTTTACACCTTAGATAGCATGTCTCTAGGAGTTCATTTTTACTTTTCGTGTAAAAATATCCCTTCTTTATAGTTTATTATGAGCTGTAAGAGTTCATGAATGACTATAAGGGATCTGCTTACTTAAGGTAATTTAAGAGAATAATGCTTAGACAATAAATTATTACTTATTCATTTAAGCACAGAAGAAACACATATTCTGTAATATGAATATATCTACTTTTCTTGTTTTTTAAGATATAGAAAACATGACTCTGGGATTAATGAATGTAGTATCATGCCTATAGGACATTGATGGAAAGGAAGTGATATGTGTATATCTAATATGTTAACCTTGCAGGCGTATGTACTACTCCTCCTCCAACTCTAATTTCCCAAGATCCCCGCTGCCCAGACCCATCCCCTACGCCTATTGCGAGACCCCAAGCCTCCAACCTCTCTATAAAACCAACTACTCCATCAACCAATCCACCTCACAGGCTGACTCCATCTCTGATAGTATACCAGCGTCGACCCCCGCACCCCAAATCAGCCACATCAATGTCACCTCCCTCACTCTACCACACATACCCACCTATCCAAATTGTATATTCACACGCTCACTGAATAACATCCAGAAACCAAAATAGATTTTTGATTACCTAGACTACTCAAAACCATCTCTTGCATCACAAACCTATAAACAAGCCCAAGAATACCCTAAGTGGAGGAAAGCCATGAATTCATAATTGATGCTTTATTGAAAAACCATACTTGGGAATTGATTCCATATAACCCCTCTAATAATGTTATTTCACGTAAGTGGCTTTTCAGGAATAAAAGGAAAGCACACCGGTCAGTTGATCATTACAAGGCGAGATTAGTTGCAAAAGGATTCACTCAGAGGTCCGGTGTTGACTTTCAGTCCGATGGTTAAATCTACTACTGTGCGAATCATACTTGTTGTTTCTATTCGGTATCAGTTGCCTCTTCGTCAACTCGACGTCAACAATGTCTTTCTTCAAGGAAGTATACATGACGCAACCTGCGCGTTGCTTGTGTTGATAATCCAACTCATATTTATAAGTTGCGCAAGGCAATATATGGCCTGAAGCAAGCACTTCGGGCTTGGTATAATGCGCTCAAAGGCTATCTTGCCCATATGGGATTTTCAAAGACTGAATCTGACAACTCCTTATTCATCAGACATAGTCACGCTGGTTTCATGTTTGTTTTGGTATATGTTGACGAAATAATAGTGACCGGCATCAACCCTATCATTGTCAATGAAGTTATAGCCTCTCTTGCCTCTCGCTTCTCCATTAAAGACTTGGGAAATCACAATTATTTTCTTGGTGTTGAGGTAGTTCGAAGCACTGATGCCATTATTCTCTCGCAAGCAACTTATATCAATTAAATCATGAATGATGTTGATGGCTGATTAGAGTACAAACACACTGGTGAGTGCTTCGGAGTTGCTCAAACTCAATGATGGGGCTCCGTTAACTGATTCGACTCGCTACCGTCAAGTCCTGGGCAAACTTCAATATCTGTCTTTTATAAGGCCAGACATTTCCTATGCAATTAATAAAATTTTCCAATTTATGCAATTACCATCTGATCTTTATTAGAAAGCTGTGAAACGAGTTCTTAGGTACCTTCATGGTACGATCAAGTTTGGCCTACATGTGTCCCCGAATTTTGTTTTAATCTGGGCATGTGCTCTGATGCGGACTGGGCTGGAGATCTCAATGACAGATCCTCCACATCTGGTTATATTTTTTTTCTTGACAACAATCCTATTAGTTGGTCCTCTAAAAAGCAGAATACTCTCTCATCAACTGAAGCTGAATATATAGTTGTCGCTAATGCACTTGCCGAACTACTGTGGGTCAAAACCCATTGCTTGAGATGCAACTTCCTGTCAGAGACACCCTTACAATCTATTGTGACAACATTGGTATGACTTATCTAAGCGAGAATCCGGGCCTTCACAATCACATGAAACATATTAAGGTGGATTTTCATTTTGTGCGCAACTACATTGAGCAGAAGGTGGTTCGAGTTGTTCATGTTCATTCTGCTAACCAACTAGTTGATATGATCAAAGCACTGGCCGAACCAGCCTTCGAACGCAATTTGTTCGATTTAAGCTTAGTGACTCTAGAAAGATGGTTACTATAACTTGTATTTAAACCATTGAGGCATTCAATAAGAGATACAATTTTTTCATCATCTATTCAAGTGTTCATAGGTATGAAAGAAAATATTTTTCCAAAATTATTTCACGAATTTCTTTTAAAGAAACTTTGTCTCACTATCTAACACTTTTTAAAAATATTCAAATGGACTCTAGAGGAAAATATAAGTGAAAAAAGTCATTTTCCCCTTTTAATGGTGTTTTTTCTTCAACATAAATAACTTTTGGAGTTTAATCGACAGAAAATGACTTATTTTCTTGAAAATATTTTTTCGTACCAAACACACTCCTCCCATGATTTTCATCCAACTCTTTGGTTTTGAAAAGCTTTTTAAAATCTTTAGTTTTTCTTACAAATATTGGTCGTTTACTATATTCAGTGGACAATAATAATCAACTATACCAAGTACACACAAATCTAGCAATTGCAAAAGCATTTTCATTTCATTTTATTTTCTTCGACCCCATTTTTCATTTTCAGCCATTTTTGGGGAGAATCTCTAATACATTGTGCAAACTAAAATAATCACCGGATTTTTTATTTAATACTGCATGTAGGTTCATCACAATTCTTACATAATATATTTAAGGAAAAACTTCAATAAGGGACCTTAGGCCAAAGACAGGTCTAATCTTGTAGCTCATGAATCCAGCCTCAAGGAATATCTTTTCCCATTCTTTCTCAGTTCTCTCTCTTCCGGGAAGATATACAATTATCAATACATAAAAAATGAGCTTCAGTTCAGTCATGTCTTCTTCTTCATCATCTCTTTTCTGCACTATGTCAATGATAATGACCTTCCCTTTTCTTCCTTCATTTTTATCCCTCATAGCTTCTCTGCTTCTCTTTAACATCTTCACACAATCCTCATCACTTCAATCATGCATAACCAGCTGCAAATTAAATGTCATATTTTGTTAACCATACAACAAATTTTTTAAACTATTTTGTTCAGAGGCAGCTCAACCCTAAGAACTTGAATCATTCTTATTTATAACTTGGCCAAACAAGCTATTAACCTTGAATATCTTTTAAAGCATATTAGTGATCTATGAAATTAATAGTTTTACCAATTTTTTGAATTAAAAGTGAGATGAAAATTGTACAAGTAAAAGATGATACTCTTATTTTTCTGAACGTTTTTATTGCTTATAGAATAATCTTAATATTTTCTCTAACAGTTCCGTTAGTTGAAAAAAGTTTGTAACCAAAATCAATAACACATAACTTAAGATTAACAATGTCTCATGAGAATTACACATACTGGCCATATTGTTAAGTAAAAAAAAACTAATTATCCAAATATAATTAACTTTCTTGCATATTAGAAAGCTATAAGAATAAACTTCAATTAAAATATATAAAAATTTACTAAAAAAATTTAGGGTCTCTGATCTTTTAAGTTTTGGCTTTAGGCCACATATTAGATTGAGCTGCCACTGGTTTTGTTAGACGCTGGCACTTTGACATGAGTGATAAAGCATACAAGAGGATATCAGAGAGGGGATTTAATTTCTGAACGACCCAAAATTTCTAAAATATATAAAAATTTACTAAAAAACGATGTTTCCTTGGACATGTGGAACATAAATTAACATTATGTAATTGCTATAGGTGATGAGCCACCCAAGATTCATATTTACGGACTTAGAGATCAGATGTAGTACATGTCAATTTGTAAACAAAAGAAACAAAAGTTAGCATCTTCTTACCTTAAACAAAAAGGCATCAGCAGGAGGAATTGACTGAAACATGTCACCTCCCACATATTTCAAATTTTCTGTCTCTGGCATGTTAGCAACAACATGAGGAAGGTCTAAAACAGTGCATTTTATATGAGGAAATGCACCCAAAATATTCTTAGCAATAACACCAGTGCCACCTCCAACATCGACCAAGGAATCCATCTCTTCAAAAACTTGTTTGCAGTCCTTCACTACCAAACTCATCATTTTGGAATCACTAGCCATAGCTTCATTGATAGCTTTGTTGAATCCTGGATTTTGGTCACAATATTTGCACAAGGGTGTGCCATATGCTGTTTAAAATGGGGTAGGTGGCTTCATTTCCAAGAAACCAATCGCCTAAAGATTGCCATGGATTCACCATAATGGGATGGGATCAACCATTGCTCTGGGAAAAGGTGAGAAATTTGGGATTTCACTCTTCAAAAGCAGCTTAGAAGAAGCAGTAAGAACATACCCTTCTTGTGTTTCTGAGGTTTCATCAAGTTTTTTAGTAGCAAAAAAGCCAGAGCATACCAATAGGCGCATCAGTCGATGAATGCCGTTTGATTTTGCAGGAGGAAGTTTCAGCTCTGAAACTAACTCAAACAGAGTCATTGGTTGCGTATGACTATGAATTATATCCGGTATGCCTAACTGAATTGCACAACGAAGAACCATGGAATTTACAAAATGGAAGGTATGCTTGTAGATATGAGTCTGAGCTCGGAACATTTCACTAGCTGTTGGAACATCATTCCCCTCCATATTGATCAGAACTTCCCAGCCTTTTTCTTTCGTAAATCGGTATTGAAATGAACTAGCTACTATTTGTTACAAANAGCTAAAGACGAATAGTCAATGGAGCTTATTGGTCAATAAATGGTGCTAAACTTGTTATAGAGAGGAAGACAAGACATTGCTGGCATAGCGTTTGGTCAAGGGTATAGCGTTTAAATACTAGATCCATCTCTAATTGGTTGCACTGGCTGGCATGGTGCTATAATAGAGATAATAAATCAATGAGGAAACAGACTAGTACGTAGTATTTAGCGGCAGATTCCTTAATAAGCACAAAATTTTCAACACTTTGCTCGTCATCTTCTATCTGGAAGAACATCCTTTCGCAAAGGAATATTTCCATGGAACAATGGGAATGTGCAATTAATTAATTTTGGAATGATCCTGCTCTGGGAAAAGGTGAGAAATTTGGGATTTCACTCTTCAAAAGCAGCTTAGAAGAAGCAGTAAGAACATACCCTTCTTGTGTTTCTGAGGTTTCATCAAGTTTTTTAGTAGCAAAAAAGCCAGAGCATACCAATAGGCGCATCAGTCGATGAATGCCGTTTGATTTTGCAGGAGGAAGTTTCAGCTCTGAAACTAACTCAAACAGAGTCATTGGTTGCGTATGACTATGAATTATATCCGGTATGCCTAACTGAATTGCACAACGAAGAACCATGGAATTTACAAAATGGAAGGTATGCTTGTAGATATGAGTCTGAGCTCGGAACATTTCACTAGCTGTTGGAACATCATTCCCCTCCATATTGATCAGAACTTCCCAGCCTTTTTCTTTCGTAAATCGGTATTGAAATGAACTAGCTACTATTTGTTACAAAGAAAGTTCAGTTTAAGGAAGATAAACTTGTAGGCAGGACAAAAATATAAACTCCGACACGACTTTGGTTGATCGAGATATGAAAAAGATCATAGCCTTAGCCAATTATCTGTTGATAGTGGACATAATGAGGACAGCAAAGCTGTACAATATTAGCCTACTTTTTAGAATTACGAGGACACGACATGTAATGCATTTCGTTAATTCCACGTTGTACTGGTATCGGATAATCCGACAAAGTTTAGACACATGAGAAATATATCAACTACTTTTATTTTATTATTTTCTATTGAGATTTGAATTAGCTGTGCTTAGTATTAAGAAAAATATTTTTCAGAATATATTTTACGGAAATTATTATCCATTATCCTACGCTTCTTAAAATCTAGAAACTATTTCAAATGGATTAGCAGAGGAAACTATAAGTGAAGAAATCGTTTTTCTCCTTTTAATGGAAAATACTTTTTTTGAGTTTGATCGACTTGAAAATATTTTTTGCACTAAACACGATCCTCCCATGATTTTCATCCAACTTTTTTGACGATGCCCCTTGAGTGCAGGTTAGAACTTTGTTTTTGATAAGTTATTCATGCGAAAAGCTAACAAATTCTCCTCTAAAATTTTTTATTCGACTCTTTTATGATGATTTTTATAACTTAATTTAACTTGACTTTCTGTTGCTTGTTACATTCTTTTGTATGATAAGCAACTGTCACGATCCCAGTTTACTCTCCATATATGAAACATCACGAACCTTTCTGTCCGCGTAACTCTTCTGCCCGGACTGGGTTGTACGGAGTCTATCCTGAATCACCTTAACTTTCTCCAATGCATCCTGAACCATCTCTGTGCCCAATAGCCTGGCCTCGCCCGGCTCAAACCAACCCACCGGAGATCTGCACCTCATACCATATAAAGCCTCATACGGCGCCATCTGAATGCTGGACTGATAGTTGTTGTTGTAAGCAAACTCCGCCAGTGGCAAGAAATGATCCCAAGACCCTCCGAACTCAATCACACACACCCGGAGCATATCCTCAAGAATCTGAATAGTGCGCTCGGACTGTCCGTCCGTCTGGGGGTGAAATGCTGTGCTCAACTCCACCCGAGTGCCTAACTCCTGCTGCACGACTCTCCAGAACCGCGATGTAAACTGAGTACCTCTGTCTGAAATGATAGAAACTGGAATGCCATGCAAACGGACGATCTCCCTGATATAAATCTCCGCCAACCGCTCCGATGAATAAGTGGTACACACAGGAATGAAATGAGCGGACTTGGTCAGCTGGTCCACAATAACCCAAATGGAATCAAACTTCTTCAAGGTCCGTGGAAGTCCAGATACAAAATCCATGGTGATGCGCTCCCATTTCCACTCCGGAATCTCTATCTGCTGGAGCAACCCACCCGGGCGTTGGTGCTTATACTTCACCTGCTGGCAGTTGAGGTATCTAGACACATAACCAACTATATCCTTCTTCATCCGCCTCCACCAGTAGTGCTGCCTCAGGTCCTGATACATCTTCGTGGCACCCGGATGGATGGAATACCGCGAACTATGGGCCTCTGCTAGAATCATCTCTCGAAGACCATCAACATTGGGCACACAAATCCGGCCCTGCATCCTCAATACTCCATCATCTCCAATGGTCACATCCCTGGCATCTCCACGCTGAACCTTGTCCCGAAGGACAAGCAAATGAGGGTCATCATACTGCCGCTCCCTGATACGATCAACTAAGGAGGATCGGGAAACCACACAAGCTAGAACTCACTGGGCTCCGAAAGATCCAATCTCACGAACTGGCTGGCTATGGCCTGAACATCCATCGCCATAGGCCTCTCTGAAGCTGGTAAATATGCCAAACTCCCCAAACTCTCCGCCCGGCGACTCAAGGCATCCGCCACCACATTGGCCTTGCCCGGGTGATATAGGATAGTGATGTCATAATCCTTCAGCAGCTCTAACCATCTCCTCTGACGCATATTGAGATCCTTTTGCTTGAGCAAGTGCTGCAAACTCCGATGATCAGTATAGATCTCGCAAGGCACTCCATATAAATAATGACGCCAGATCTTCAAGGCATGAACAATGGCAGCTAACTCAAGGTCGTGGACAGGGTAATTCTTTTCATGTATCTTCAACTGTCTGGACGCGTAGGCAATCACCCTACCGTCCTGCATCAACACTGCTCCAAGGCCAACTCTCGAGGCGTCACAATAGACAGTATAAGACCCCGAACCGGTAGGCAACATCAAGATTGGGGCTGTAGTCAAAGCTGTCTTGAGCTTCTGAAAGCTCGCCTCACACTCCTCTGTCCACTGAAATGGGGCACCCTTCTGGGTCAATCTAGTCATAGGGGCAGCAATCGATGAAAATCCCTCCACGAAACGACGGTAGTAACCCGCCAAGCCAAGGAAACTGCGAATCTCTGTAGCTGAGGACGGCCTGGGCCAACTCTGCACGGCCTCTACCTTCCTCGGATCCACCCGAATACCCTCACTAGAAATCACATGGCCTAAGAATGCCACAGAACTCAGCCAAAACTCACATTTTGAGAACTTTGCATATAACTTTTTCTCCCTCAAGGTCTGAAGCACGGTCCTCAGGTGCTGCTCATGATCTTCCCGACTCCGGGAATACACCAGAATATCATCAATAAAAACAATCACGAACGAGTCAAGATATGGTCTGAACACACTGTGCATCAAATGCATGAAAGCTGCAGGGGCATTGGTCAGCCCAAATGACATAACAAGGAACTCGTAATGGCCATATCGAGTCCTGAAGGCAGTCTTCGGGATATCTGGCTCCCGAATCTTCAACTGATGGTAACCTGAGCGCAAGTCAATCTTAGAAAACACCTGTGCGCCCTGAAGCTGGTCAAACAGATCATCAATACGAGGCAAAGGATAACGGTTCTTCACTGTAACCTTGTTCAACTGGCGGTAGTCAATACACATGCGCATAGAACCATCCTTTTTCTTCACAAACAAAACAGGAGCACCCCACGGTGAAACACTGGGTCGAATAAAACCCTTACCAAGCAATTCCTGCAACTGATCCTTCAGCTCTTTCAACTCAGGAGGAGCCATACGATATGGAGGAATGGAAATGGGCTGAGTGCCCGGCAACAAATCAATGCCAAAATCAATGTCCCTATCAGGCGGCATGCCTGGAAGATCAGCTGGAAATACATCGGGATAATCCCATACCACTGGAACAGAATCAACAGAAGGGGTATCAACACTAACATCTCTCACATAAGCCAAATACGCAGCAGACCCCTTCTCAACCATGCGCTGAGCTTTAAAAAAAGAGATAACTCTACTGGGAGTGTGATCTAATGTACCACTCCATTCAACACGCGGAATACCTGGCATAGCCAGCGTTACGGTTTTGGCGTGACAATCAAGAATAGCAAAATGGGGCGACAACCAGTCCATGCCCAGAATAATGTCAAAATCTACCATGTCGAGTAACAATAAATCTACTCTGGTCTCAAAACCACGAATAGTAACCAAACATGACCGATAAACGCGGTCCACAACAAGAGAATCTCCCACAGGAGTAGAAACATAGACGGGGGCACTCAAAGAATCTCGAGGCATACCCAAATGCGGAGAAAAGTAAGAAGACACATAAGAGTAAGTAGAGCAAGGATCGAATAGAACCGATGCCTCTCTGTGACAAACCGATATAATACCTGTGATGACGGAGTCGGAGGCGACAGCCTCAGTGCGGACAGGAATACAATAATATCTGGCACGGCCCCTCTCTCGAGGGCGACCTCTATCTCTCCGACCTCCGCCCCTAGCTGGCTGGGCAGGTGGGGTAGCAGCGGGAGCTGTGACCATAGCCTGAGAACTTTGAGGAGCACGTTGTGGCTGAGCAGTCTGTGAAGATGCACCCCTACCAAGTCTGGGGCAGTCCCTAACCATGTGGCGTGTATCACCACACTCGAAGCAAGCTCTGGGAGGACGCGGTGGCTGTGACTGACTGGAGCTAGGCCTGCTGGACTGACCTCTGGAAACACCCTGCGCAGGAGGCGCGCTAGAAACTGGAGGTTCACAGTAAGGCTCGTGAGGTGGAGGTGGAGCTGGAGTACTGCCGGCTGCTGGAAGAGCTAAATGTACAGGGCGACCAGAATAACCTCTACCATAACGACCTGCTGATGGGGTACGAGCACCAGAGTAGTAACCCGACT